GCACTAATTTGTTCCACAATTGATCAACAGATGGCTAATTATTGTAAATTTACTTGGAAAGAAAAGTTTTGACATCTTGACCCCCGCAAAGGGAGCACCCCCTGGGGGCGTGGCTAAAACGGTGCTGGCGGCTTCGATGCAGCACCTTAATTAATATAATCATTACTAAAACATAGTAAAATCTATGTAGGTATTACAATAATTACAATTAAATAAACATCAGATATATCATCAGTCAGCACCATTGACAACAGTCTACAACATCTAACAACATAACAACATACCTACTTTAGTACCTACAGTTTAGGCAATTATTTTATCACAGTCAGGAAATCATAGTTATAGAACGCCTGCTCGATCAACCAGTTTCTTAACCTGCGTTTGAATATAGGTAGCGAGGGTGTGTCTACAATGTCTTGTGGAAGCCTATTATAAACAAACGGCGCGAGCACATGTGTCACCCTGTCAGACTTGGCCAGCCTATGTGGTATCGATTGTAGTTTTCTAGCTCCACGTAAGTTATAGTTGTGGTTCTCGCCACGCCGCTCAAAGTTTGCCATGTTTTCCCTAGCGTACATAGCGACAGAAAAAATGTATAAACTTGGTAAAGTCATAATATGTAACTCCCTAAAATATGGTTGCACATGAGTATCAGCGGGGACGCGCGCGACGATCCTGACAGCGCGCTTCTGTAATACAAAGGCGCGTTCCCAGTCCGCCCCACGCGCCCACAGCTCCACTCCATACTGCAAGAGAGACTGCTGCTTGCCGCACGTACGTGTAATTTTTATTATAAAATATTTATTTTCTCAGTGTTACAAAGACAATACAGTGATTTAGTTTTCCGTAATACCATCTTTTAATCATCTCCGCACACGCACCCAATTAGAAGACCAGCTCCCTAACAAACTACAGTCCACATAAAAGCAATGCATCATACAAAGTTTTCGAGCAAAGCGAGCACCATTTTTGGTAGTTTATGACACTTTAAATTAACATCTACTTCAAAATAGATGTTAATTTCCTTTTTAGTGATGACATTTGGGGCTTGTAACATTTCGAAAACAGACGTTCGCTTTTTTGTGCACTCAGTGCTTGTAAGAATCCTGCAACAGACGTTTGACGTCTTTGTCTGTGAGGGGGGCAGGCCCCCCTCAACCCCCCCCGGTATTGACACTTAGTGCTTGTAAGACTCCTGCAACAGAAATTTGACGTTTTCTTCTGTGAGGGGGGCAAGCCCCCCTCAACCCCCCGGTAATGACACTTGGTGCTTGTACTGCAACAGACGTTTGACGTCTTCTATGAGGGCGGCAAGCCCCCCTCAACCCTCCGGTAATGACACTTAGTGCTTGTAAGAATCCTACAACAGACGTTTGACGTCTTCGTCTGTGAGGGGGGCAAGCCCCCCTCAACCCCCCGGTAATGACACTTGGTGCTTGTACTGCAACAGAAGTTTGACGTCTTCTATGAGGGGGGCAAGCCCCCCTCACAGACGAAGACGTCAAACGCCTGTTGTAGGATTCTTACAAGCACTAAGTGTCATTACCGGGGGATTGAGGGGGGCTTGCCCCCCTCACAGAAGACGTCAAACGTCTGTTACAGATTTTTTACAAGCACTAAGTGTCATTACCGGGGGGTTGAGGGGGGCTTGCCCCCCCTCACAGAAGAAGACGTCAAACGTCTGTTGCAGGATTCTTACAAGCACTAAGTGTCATCACCGGGGGGTTGAGGGGGGCTTGCCCCCCTCACAGAAGAAAACGTCAAACGTCTGTTGTAGGATTCTTAAAAGCACTATGTGTCATTACCGGGTGGTTGAGGGGGCTAGGCCCCCTCACAGAAGACGTCAAACGTCTGTTGCAGTACAAGCACCAAGTGTCATTACCGGGGGGTTGAGGGGGGCTTGCCCCCCTCACAGAAGAAAACGTCAAATTTCTGTTGCAGGAGTCTTACAAGCACTAAGTGTCAATACCGGGGTTGAGGGGGGCCTGCCCCTCACAGACAAAGACGTCAAACGTCTGTTGCAGGATTCTTACAAGCACTAAGTGCACAAAAAAGCGAACGTCTGTTTTCGAAATGTTACAAGCCCCAAATGTCATCACTAAAAAGGAAATTAACATCTATTTTGAAGTAGATGTTAATTTAAAGTGTTCTAAAACTACCAAAAATGGTGCTCGCTTTGCTCGAAAACTTTTTTGTCCTGCATCTGCTCAAAGTTAATTTCTTCACCATGCTTGCTTTTTTTTGGCAATGTAGGAAAAAAGACTTTATAAAGTAATCTTCTGAATAATCCAGATAATTTTTAGTAAATATCGTAAAAATTTCCGCTCGCTTCGCTCGCGCTCTTTCTTTATGTTTCTCTTTCCGTGCTTGTCGTTTTTAAAACTAAGTTGACTTACTTATACATCAGGTTATCAGGCAAGCCCCCCTCAACCCCCCGGTAATGACACTTAGTGCTTGTAAGAATCCTACAACAGACGTTTGACGTCTTCGTCTGTGAGGGGGGCAAGCCCCCCTCAACCCCCCGGTAAAAACACTTAGTGCTTGTAAGAATCCTACAACAGGCGTTTGACGTCTTCTTCTGAGGGGGTAAAGCAAGCAATTACTCCAGATGTTTTTTTTTACAATATTACCCAAAATAGATCTGGATTATTAAGTGCATTTGTTTGTAAAGTCTCTTTTCCTACATTGGCAATAATAGGTAAACTGTGAAGAAAGCTAGGTTAAGCAGTCCTCGAGCAAAGCGTTCAAAATTGAGTAGACCTCGTCTAAGCTGCAATGACGCCCCACTACCTAACTTACTTACCGCTTGTGTGCGTTAATGCGATGGTGGGGTGCGTCATTTCAGCTTAGACGAGCTATACGGGTTTTAAATAAATTTTCTACATACCTATTTATGCAACGAACTCATTCACCCAGGATAAAGCACATGTACAGGTACTCATAGGTACATACAGAAGTATTACATATAACTTTTGTATATTACTAACTTAGTAAATACATGTTATACCTACGCGCAGGTTTTAAGTAATAGATCTTTTATCTACCTATTTTTCAAAGTCAAATAAATACAAGTACGGTCATTCAAGTCCTTGGACAAATCAACCTCTTCAAGTCATATTTTAAAACCTCCATAATGTCATGTATGACTTGAAAGATATGACAACTCCGGGTCAAATTAGCTCAAACACGGGGATATAGTGCGTAGTGTGATTCCTAGTCTACCTTCCGTCTCCATCATCACATCTTCATGAGATATGGCTAAGAACCATCCTCACTATATTAGCTTTTATATAAACGAAACCGCATTTAAATCGGTTCAGTCGTTTCGGAGATACGTTGCCTCAAAGAATCGTAGACACACGGACATACAGACGCGTGAAACTTATAACACCCCTCCGGTTGGTTCGTCGGGGGTTAAAAAAGAACAGTGCTACACATTGCAGGGAACGTTATGCCGTTGCAAACACCATGTCAGAAGCCTACTATACCTATTAATTTGGTAACAATACTTTGACGTCATGGTTCATCGGGTCGTTCATCGACTAGGTACCCTACACGATAGAAGAAGAAGAGGCAAAAATTTTAGCTGTGTGTCACCTGCCCGGATTTACGCAAGCGAAAAGCACTTGGATGTAGATAAAGGACCAATATTTGGTTTGCCCAGATGCCACTCCATTCAGTCTGATTGGCTGTATTGTTTGATGGGTGTAGGTAGTTTACCGTGTTCTACCGTGTGTTGCTTAGAATAGCATCACCCTATATCTTTCCCATGGGTGTCGTAAAAAGCGAGTAAGGGATTTGAGAGTTGGTGTGTATTGGAATTTTAGGCGACAGGCTTACATCCTGTCACTTAGTGATACACAGTCTTCTAAATGACTTTCAAACTTTTGCCAGACGTGGTGTAAATGGCCGTTTTTTCAGTCCTTTACGCTTTGCCTACCCCGCCAGGGATAAAGGCGTGATATATGTATGCAGGGTAGGTAGTTTTCGCAAAAGTATTCCAAATCTGCACTTTAAACAATGTGTTCAGCTACAGCTCTATATAAAATCCAATCCTATGGGAATACCCTTTCTTGTGTGGAATCACATCGTAAAATACGTGAATATGTGTGTTTGAAGCGGTACCACAGAATAAGGACGAAGCTATAGAAACCGTGTTAAAACATTTCGGTTATTGCTAGACTACATTTATATCTACGCATGGTGTGAATTAGACAAGAGAATCATAAACAAACGAGTAACTTTTTACTTTAGTATTCAATGGAATTTATGGGTAGGTATCAAAGAAATTTTAGGTTATAAATATCAATGAAAATAATTAAAACAGATAGAAACCTCTCAGTTTATTTAATACACGTACAAGTCGTTAGCAAAAAATACAACAACTAATGCATAAATCCTCGTGTGATATGTATGACAGTTGTAAAATCAGTATGTATTAAACATACATTAAACGTCCTATAGGTATAGGTCTTTAGACAGACGAGGAGGGGAATAATAACACTACTTCTATAGCTATGTCCTTATTCTGAGAGCAGTACAATATGGGAATTCAATTAAATAGGCGCCAATTCGCGGGAGGTTAAAAGATTTGCGTTTGAATCGGTCGCGCCCTCTTTGGTACCACCACCCTTACCAAGCGAACCGGAAAAAGAGGATTTATTTAACGCTCTTGGAGTGCACTCGAGTGGAGAGGAATTCAAAGCTTGTGAGCATGTGAACATACAGCATTGTTGGTGGCGTAACTGTTTTCAGCAGGCTTCAGATTGGCGGCTTCAGTCAGTGAGGGAAGAGTGTTTTGGCTTGAATAGGAAGTTTTAATAAAGATTTGATATAATTTGGTAAGTTAGGTAAACCGTCACACGCCACACCCTTTTTGTAAAGCTGCATAGCTGAAGTCCTGACTACGTGATGGCCACAACACGATAAGCAACAACTGTAGTTTACCCATTTCGACTGCTTTTCTAGCTATCGGCCTACCCATTTACCTGACTGTCTCGATGGCGTAGTGGAGTAGTGTCCACCCCTGCCTTCTACGCCGAGGGTCGTGGGTTCGATTCCCACCAGACATAAATATTTGTAAAGTCAATTTTCAAATATTTCTGTGTAGTCTGGGTGTTTTCTATGTATGATAATGAATTTATTTACAAAAAAAAGTATATTAGTATTATATCAATTGTCTAGTTCCCATAGTACAAGCTTTGCTTAGTTTGGGGCTAGAAGACGCTGTGTATCTCGTCCAGGGATATTTATTTATTTATTTAAGGGACTTCATTATAATAGCCCATAACTTGATGTGCAAGAGATTTTAGCAAAATGCTACGAATCAACTCTTGATGTTTGTTTTTAAATAAAATGAAGTAAATTATCAAACAGTTTATTTGCAGTTCAGTTACACTGGCCGGACTGGTAGAGGCTCGCGATCTGTCGATTGCAGTCGCTGCGGTGCAGCTTGCGGCTGTGCGTGTGCGGCAGACGAGCCACGAACAAAAGACAAAAGTCAGTGAGAAAAGTCGATGAGAATTTGAATAGGAAGTTTTAATAATTAAACATTCACTACAATTAGATACGTTACTTAGTAAAACCATCGCCCATCACACGCAGCACTGTTTTTTTAACTGCCAAATGCTTCATGCACACTGGCTGGACTGGAAGAGGCTCGTGATCAGTCGGTTGCAGTCGCTGCGGTGCAGTTTGCCGCTGTGCGTGTGCGGCAGACGGGCCACAAACGCGATGCCGCCGCGTAGTCGCTTGTGCGGGTGTATATCCGAATCTGTGGTACAAAAACACATTGTTCCGAAATCTGAGTCTTTCAAGCTACCGTAATGTGATGCTGGCAGTGTTCTTTCATTTGGTACAGCGATGATATAGTAAGTATAGGAGGTATTTTAAGCCGCTGTGCATAAAGGTAACGCCTGGTGACTCTTAGGTTGAAATCATGTCCACAGAATAAGAGTATTAAAATATTCTATACAAATCCAGTCGCATCTTACTTTCAATAGCTCTGTATATGCTTTCCCTGGTAACGTTGCTGCCTGGCCGCCGCACGACGGCTGCTGCCGCGCCGCCGTCGGTTCTTCCAACCACGCACTCCAATACGCCATCTACCGCTTTGATCACGCTCTCGAACTCTTGGGGCGAAATTATCTGCAGAAAATGTTTGTATATGTAAAATCATGTCGTAGGATCAAACTCCATTGAAGAGACGTGCGATGTGTCGCGTGGGATGACAGCTGTCAGACAAGTGATCGTCGGCCGTAATCGGTAGCTCTGTTTCATATACATTTAATATGGAAAAGGTTTCAAACATCGCGATTTCGCACGTCTCACGTCTCCTCCGATCGCTTGTCTGACAGATGTCATTTTGCGTCGCGCGTCTCATCTTTGGAGCTTACCCCGTCCGAAAGAAGGTAAGATCGCAGTAGGCAAAACATAAGAAGAAGAAATAACTCACGGTGGTCAAATTGATACATCTGAACCAGAATGTCTTCCTCTCAATGAAAAACAGATTTTGGTCCTTATCTTCCGTGAAGATATCGCCAGTCTTAAACCAGCCATCGATAGATTGCCGTTGGGCTTGCTCATTCTTCATGTAACCCTAAAATAAAGGAGTATTTCAAAATTATAAGTGAATTGCGGTACAGCTGTAAGATGTTTGGGTAAGCGGAGAACGGTAGTAAGAAGGGTAAAGTAAGGGAAAGTAAAAGTTGAAGAGGAGATACTTAAATAGAGGAGGAACTCATTTGGTGGAAAGTTTAGGAGAGGGCAGAGTAGTTGAGTACTTTCTAAAACTGTATTTACAAGTAAACACGTTGCGGTGGGTAAAATTACTTATTTACCTTGATAATACTTATTCCTTTAAGATACAATTCTCCTCTTTCACCAGGTTGAACAACATCTTCGTTGTCATCGACTAGCTGAAACAAATTCAAAGAAAATTGTTACGTAATGGCAAGCGCAGCGCAACTAGTAGCGCAACGCTCCTTCCAAAAAAATACAAAGAATATTGTTTCTTTTGATACCTTTTAGCATAAAAAACTTATCTTTAGACCACCCTCTTAAGAAAGGCAGTAAGTTAACATCACTCCATTTCTAACCCATTTTCAACCAGCTATGGGTATCGTTAAAGACGAATAAGGAAAGTCTTAGGAACGAACAGCAGTGGATCCCGTGAATAAAAACTTTGCATTGCACTCCTCAATTCACCTGCCAAGTGGGATCAGTATGGCATTAATTCTCCACAATTTGGCGGGACTGAATCCAGCAGTGAATTGTTGAAGAAGTAGAAACCTAAACTTAATGTTAATATACCTACCTTATAATGGAATATGTTGGAAATTTTCCCAATGGATCCTGAGGGCGTTTCTTTTGTTGGGAATCCAAGCCAGCCTTGTTTGTATCTCGGTGATGCCATATGAAGCACCCACAAGTGCTTTAGGCATGAGGGTTGCCAGACGCTGGAGAGTAGATTCTGCCGGTGCCTCCCCTCCTAACGTGATGCATTCTACTGATGATAGTTGCTCGGGCCGAGCTACTTCAGAAATTTGTGTACCTGCAAATGGGCCTAGCAACAACCAAGTTACCTGTTAAAGAAAAGAAAACAAAATTACTGATCAGCTGATTTGCGTGTTTTCTACGGCCATTTCAAAATTATTTTTCTTTTCTCAACATAGGCAACAAATTTAGCTTCATGTTCTGATCATGCCTGCCAAGTTTTGGAAACACCGTCTTTTACACCTGTTTTAAGCTGATTTTCTTGATTTTAGAGCATATTATTATTTTGTGATAATTAAACTTTAATTGGTATTCAGGTTTTGACTGCTTTATCAATTCAACATCGATATAAAAATACTAAACTACAGCGTTAAAAATCTCCAGTCTGTACCTTGTATGTTTCTATAATATTGATGATTTTAGATGTTGTCCTGTCGGAAGTGAAGATGAAAGTAATACCGAAGACAGAGCAGGTGTTGAGTAAGACGGAGAACGTCGTCCACTGCGCAGACGACGAGCATAGCACGCACTTTGTCGGCCGAGGGAAATTTGTGCAGTCTCCCCTGAAAGACAAAAACGGACGCTGACAGGACTGGAATCAGAGGAAGTGACAGACAATCAGAATCGGATGATAAGGCTAAGAAGAAGAAAAACTCGTAAAACTTACCAAACAGACGGCAATTGAGCGACGAGACCCTCAGAAGTGAGTTTTGCAATTTTAGGTAATCCAGTAGAGCCACTGGTCGGCAGCAGTACTACGTCTGTTTTAGGTGACACTTCCACGGGGCTGCGAAAATAAATACATCGTATAGATATGCGCTTGCATAGTATTAAAGGTCTGATTTTCGGAAAGACACTTACAAAGTTGATATTTATATCTATGTCAGAGGTTCCTTGAAAAAAGTCATTCGACAAATCAAGTCAGAGTCACTGCGACAGAAGAAGTCAAAGAATGTACCAAGGTATCTTAACTCTTACTCTAAATTCGTGTAACTACATCTCAGCCAGACACTCGAATTAGATGGATGGATAATAATAAAATACTCACAAGTATTTTGTGGGATCAGAGTCGTGGCCGCTAGCGAACTGACCAAGACTGTTAGTCGTTAGTACACCATCATCTGCTATTTTCCCGTAAGTGTGAACGGCAGTTTTGACGTCATCCAGTCTGTCTTCATCACACACGATCATACTTGGCTCCGCTAGGGGCAGAAAGTGATCCAACTCACCTAGAAAAACAGTTGAGATAGCACATGAGATAGTAGAGTTGAGTGAACAATCACACTAGTGTCACAAAAAAGAGTGTTTACAGAAGGTTCACTTGATCTTGTATAGGATTTTTGCAATTGTCACTTGTTACATAGCCAGGGTTTTATATAATTTAATGGACTTATTTTTTTATTACAGCTTCATACATAACACCTTGCTATGCTAAGCCGCGTGACAACCACATGGTGTGTAAATTGTGTCCCTCCATTGCAGAGACTAGACTATTGATACAGTAGTGAAAAGTACCTGAAAAATGCTGACAGGTTCTTACTTTTAGTGGTCATAGGATCTAGCAAGAAGAGCTTGACTCCAGCGAATATTGCTCCATAGTAGATCGCGATAAGTTGCTCAGTGCTGCGCATGATTAGAAGCAGGACTTGACCTGACATTTGTCTGGTAACCAGCGCGCGCGCAAGCGGCACCGCGCGTTGCAGCACTTGCCAGTTGGTCAGCGTCACGCCGCTCACGCCGTTGATCTAAAATCATGTTGACTGTGTGAATTACTGGCCTTCATCTTCTTCGAGTGGGACACCAAGTCGTTCAACGACCCGATGAACCCTGGTGTTAGAGTTATTCAACCGGCTACTGCAAGTAGCAGGGCTCTGACATGGTTGCATAATGACTGCTGTCTAAGATCATAGACAGCAGGACTGACGGCTTAACGTGCCCTCCGAAGCACGGCACCACGGAACCAGCTCCAAAATTGATCTAAAAACGATCATAATGATGTGGGAAATTTATATCATTGTATGGTTCTAGAATGGGGTCCTACATTAAGTACCCGCGCGCTATAAAACGCTTGCTACTCTAATTTGATTGCTAATTTGTTTCACCCTTCACACCGAAAACTGTCACAGAAAAATCGCGACGGCAAAATTTACGGCCTGACACTGCCCGCAAACTTAAATTATGTATAAGAGTGATGAGATGAGTAAATAAAGTGTTTTTGTTGCATCATGAATTGATCTTGATTTCAAGGTCTTTCATGTTTGAGATAAAATAAAAAACGCACTTATCTAGGTATTAGATCTGTCTGCGTAGCTATTACCGTCAGTAATTATAAATAACATAGTAGCAAATGGTTATATTGATTAGATAAAATCATTAGAAAGATAAAATATTAATTTAGAAAAATTAATTAATTTTTTATCACAACGAATAGGTATTCAAAGTATGTAGATATTCATACCAACTTTCATGCATATCTAACGTTTAATAATATGACATTCTGACTCCAGGATTCACCTGGTTATTGGTTGACTTGTATTCTATAGCTACGTCCTCATTCTGTGGGTGTCGTTATTGGTTG